AAGCCGCGCATGCAGATCATTTGTGATTATAACGAGTAGCCGTGATCGAATCTGAAAACAAAGACGGGAAAATCGTTATATCTCAAGAACGATAGAATTTACGGTAAAATCATTCAATGACATTCTGCATTAGGTTTTAAAGTATAATATATACAGAAGCTAGAACAATTGTTGTCATACGGCGTGAAATTGCCGTCTGACGAAAGCAGAACTCCAAATATATAAAATCGTTATATTTTTAAAACGGCAGCATGCATGTATTCGGAAATATGCTTCAGGTCATTCTGCATTACCATTTACCATAAGGAAAATTCAACCATAAGCAGTATTGAACTCTGGTCTCAGAGGTAAAAACACATACACGAAAATCTGCTTTACGCTATCAAAGTTTCTGTGATCACAGTATAGGAATGGACAACTTGCATGTTAGACTAAATTTTAATCTAAGTAGAGAGAAGGGAATAAAACACAACAGTTAAAAGGAACATAATGAAATTAGTAAAATTGCAAAATTTGGTTGCGAAATGTTGTATACAGAAAATATAGCCTTGCGAAGTTTGGATATTTTCAGTATATTTCTATTACGTGCGCGGAAATTGTTATCATTTTTGGCTCAAAAATGGTAACAATTTCCGCACGTAATACAAACATACTGAAAATATGCAAACTTCGCAAGGCTATATTTTCTGTATTTTATAACATTTCGTAACCAAATTTTGCAATTTTACTAACTTTAATAAGTTCTTTACGGGAATTTACTTCTTTTTGCCTAAATCAAAAATTATAGTCTGACATGCAAGTTGTCTATTGTGCTTCGGTAAATTCTAAATATTAATTGAAGGATTTGTAAGAAATTTTTGAGGGAAGTGACTGAGAGTTAAATAGTGTTAAAACACGTTGCTTAGTTACGCTAAAACAACTAGCAAAACTGCTTTGCTTTGCAAATCCAGACTTGTTTACCTACCTAATAATAATTTAATCTTGAGAAATTGCGGAACATATTGTCATGAAAATTACGGCAAAAATGAAGAAAAGATTACGGCATTAAACAATAAAACGGAGTGGTACTCTTTGACCTTTAATGATTTATGATGAAGTATTTTTATGTATAGGCATTAGGCATTCAATTTGACTTTACCAAATACCGTTTCTCTGAAATTCTTAGTTTCCTTCTGGACAAATAAGCACCCCAAGGGAGACCAGTTTTACTATATTTATACTGGAAAGTTCTATCAGTTCTAGATTAGTTTCCAAGTTAGCCTAAACAAAGAGAGCATTAGGCTAGTATTCCAAAGGTCGTAGGTTCGATTCCCACCGTGTGGCCAGGCATATTTTTCAAGCTTGCCCGGTGTGGATATACACTCAGAGTAACATCACAAGCATCATATTCACCTGAGTACATTACACCAACACAGAAAAAAATTCATAGCCTAAACAAGTTCTTATATGTTGGTGCATGATTACCAGGAAATTGGACTAAACTTAAACAGGTTCTTATTTTCTTATAATTAGGTGTGATATATAATTTATATAAATTATGCACAAATTATTTAAGAGTCCATGATGCTGAAAAACATCGCTTACAGTCACTATAGTATAGTTAAGATTGTCATGTACTAGCCTGCGTGGCAGGTCCTTTGCCTCCCTAATTTTCGCTGCCTGTAGAAATACCGCCTGCCACGCAGGCTAGTCATGTACAGATGTATTTCACTGAAGAAATACAGTTATTGTTGTGTTCATACAGACATGTTATCATCCTCGTACCCAGGGTGACATGTTATTTATCTGAATGACATTTCCAGGGTTCTTGGGTGATTTTCATTACTTTGTCTTTGTGAAGAGCTTATGACATAGTGTTTAGCACTGAGCCCAGTAATTCCCTCAAACATTTCTTACAAATCCTTCAAAACTTAGAATTTACCTATGCAAAATTCCTATTGTGATGACAGAAACTTTGATAGTGTAAACCAGTCTTACTTCTTACTGGACTGGACCGAACCCTCAGGAAGAACAGTTCAGAAATGACAGAGCAATCCAGTTGTTATATTTCATAGGAAAACTAAGGAGTCAGGTCAGGGGGTTCAGGTTATTGTTAAAATAGGTTGAAATATAGGTATAAAGTATTCTACATTTACCCCAGATTAAGTACTCAGGCAGGCAGACAAAAGTGGCCTAGAGTTTTAAGTTTTCGGGTATATTGAGCAAGTATTATCGAGTACATTGGTATTCTGGTAACCCCCCTGGATAGCCCTCCTTACTGGACTCCTGGAGTGAAATATTTTAGAACTGATAGAGCTTTCCAGTACAAATAATCAAATATAGTTGGTTTAGTTTAGGTTCCCTGCTGTAGGTAGGGAAAACACTTTCACTAGAACTGATAGAGCTATACTGTATGAATAAATTTAATTTAGTCACTCAAAGATATACGTGAGTGACGGAATATATGCAGAAATTGAATATGGCAATAATCACTTGAACCACTTCACCGCACTTCATATTACCAAGCTATCTTTGTGATCGAAGAGATTAGTCCTTATCAATTTAGCGCACGACCAACAATAACACCAAAGGTTAGACGCAGAGCACACGACCAACAACAACACCATTACACCAAAGGTTAGAGCGATTGGTATCGAAATTAAAATACGTGATGTGGGTATGTGATGTGGGTTCTGCCGTTCTGGAAACTTATAAGGAGGCTTTGTGATGGAGAGAAGGGGTTTGTTTATTCATTTAACTTCGCCAAAGAACATGCTGCACGCTACAGCTTTCGCCAATTACAGCGGCCCTATACATATAATAAGATACGAACAAACACTTTGGGGTTGTGAAAACTAATGACAACACGATATTTTACAGGACAGATTACGAGACTTGTTGCGAGACAAACATATAGATTTCCATGTTCTTGGATAATCCACATCGTATACGTTTTTTACAGCTAAATGGTAACACTTGAAAAGTCCATTTTTGAACTGACTTAAGCTGGTGTTATGGCCTGTCAAATCCCTTGGCAGTACATTCCATTTCTTGGTCGTCCATCTGTTTGTATTGTCTTCGCTATATACTTTATTAACTAACCGTTATGTTGACAAAAAATGTAAGGTCAGGTTTTCCTATAAATATACGATATCATATTCCCTTAGTTTAAACACTTCGAAATCGTAAGAATATTTTGTGCGCTTTATAATTTAAATGTGGATTTGAATTTTTGCTTCGCCAAGTTATAGCCACTGATCTATCAATTAGAACTGGTCACTGGATGCGTTTTGAATTCAATGAGCCAACTTTGAACCCAGAATATTCATGAGATACGATATGAAAATCTGTGTTTAACTCTTTTTGAATCAAATCGACTCGTTAGGTGTTCACAGTAGTTTTACTTTCACGCAAATATTTTCTATTATTGAATTTGAAAAACTATACATAGCCTCCCATGCGCATTTTCTGATTAGTTGTAGAACGTTTTGAACACTATTGATAATCAGACCCAATTCAAGTAATGCAGGTGGTGAACTTTGTATTGGCTAAACTGTGGTGGTTTTATTGGTAATTTTCGAACGAAAATTTATAAGACATAACTGGGATATAAGCAGAGACGGATTTTCATATTTTCGTTCGGGGAAGGGGGATAAATATCTGGGGGGTGCTGCTGCTTGCTTTGGCCGGGGCGTGGTGGCAACGCCCGGAAAGGCCAAGGGAAAAGTTTAACGAAATTTGTTTGCTAGGCCTGCATGGCGAGATCTGAGACCATAATATTGGTAATTTTACAAATTTAGTAGTAAGAATAATCAGATATGAAACTATCAAATCAAAATATATATAATTTGCGGGGGTGCAAAAACTTTTGGGGGCGGTGCCAAATGCCTCTGGGGGGTGCAAATCATTTCTGGGGGTGCGGGGGGGGGGTGCCTGGATATAAGCTGTATACAACTTTAAGGTCCATTTCCACTCAAGGAAAATTTTCCACGGACAGAAAATGTTCCGAAAATATCATTGTTAAAAGTTGAAAATTTTCAACTTCAAAATTTTTTTTCCGACGGAAAATTTGTGTCGGCCTAAAATTTTTTATGCGGAAAATTTTCCTGAGGCTAAGTGGAAATGGGCCCTTGTGTCCTCTGGCAATGCTGGCTCTGCCCTTATGCGGAATCCTGTTGTACCAGGCACAGATGTAAGTGACGTGAATGATCGCAGGTTAATGCGATCCTGCCAGAGGGCATACAATTGTATGTGAGTTTTCCATGAAAATTCCATCCATCTACAAATATTCCATTTCCATTCGGAAATATCGATCGGCAAAAATCTCGAGTATAAAATTATAACCGCGTGATTGGCTTGATCTGGGGGATTTCTAAGACACCTGCACATCATTTGAAATATTTCACAGGCGCTTCTTGGTAAGACTGTTTGTAAACACCATCACAGATGTTCACAGATAAAGCTTAAGTCTTAGGTCAACATAATATTATTACTGCAATAACTAGAAAGAAAGCCGATAACACCTGAAATTAATCAAGTATAATCTTGGGTTTATAACGATTCAATGATCTTCCTGTTTTGAAATTCTTAATCCATATATTCAATATATATACACCGCTGCATGAAGAGTATGAATTCTGGCAAAGAACAAATCGTTATAAGATTGAAAGAAACCGAGGAATAGATTGGATTCGTATAGATATAATCCATAGAACCTAATTTTCCCGCAAAGATACATGTCTATGGTTAATATAATAGATAGCTTACGATCCCCATAGGTGAACCATTTCAAGGTAAGTCAACCCTATTCTTTATTGCGTGGAGTTGGACTCTCCGACATTTAGTAAACCAAAACATGCACTATATCATAGATAGTTCTAAATTAAAGTTTCTGAAACGTTCTCCGATCGTCAAATTTATTTTAACACGAGCTTTTGACTGCCAGTCTGCAGTCGTCGATAGGTAAAGTGATATTAACTACAATTCTACATAGCTACTAAGACATGATAAAGCCTCTTCACGTGACATATTTTGGTTGACATGATTTGCCAATAAGCTTATGAATTATTGATGAATGTTTGCTAGATGCGCGACCAGGATTCATACTTAAGTTTCTGAAACTTTCTCTGATCGTAAAATTTATTTTAACACGAGCTTTCGACTGCCAGTCTGCAGTCACAGGTAAAGTGATACTAAATATAAAGTTTCAGGTAAAGTGATACTAAATATAAAATTTCACCTACGTAAACTCTGGCATAAAACTGTGTAATAAAAATCTATATTGTTCTGGTTAATGTTGCGCATTGTTGTCAGAATTCAATGTGGTTGCTGTATGCCAGAACTCCAGTGTTGCTCTGTGTCGGTAGGTTGCTTTGTCTAGGATTTTGCATTCATCAAAGTTGATTTTGTGGTCCTGAGTCCAAGTATGTTTTGCTATATTAGAACCGGATTTACATTGTTCGACGTTACGCTTATATGTTCCTGTTCTTTCGTTTCGAGAGCTCTGCCGGTCTCACCTATTATAGCTCCAGGATAGTTTTATACTTATAAGAACACTCGTTATACAAGGGTTTACGAAGGCGGAACTACTTATTGCATGCCACTGTAATTGTAAACCACTGTCCTAGAAGCTATATCCGTAGAATTTTATATTTAGTATCACTTTACCTCATGTCGAAGACTGCAGACTGGCAGTCGAAAGCTCGTGTTAAAATAAATTTTACGATCAGAGAAAGTTTCAGAAACTTTATCATGAATCCTGGTCGCGCAACTGGCAAACACTCATTAATAATTCATAAGCTTACTGGCAAATCACGTCAACCGTAATATGTCACGTGAAGAGGATTTATAATACCTGATAAAACTCATCTTCATTAGTACATAAATTAGTTTCATATTTTGGGTAACTGTTATCCTGTATGAAAAGTGCTTAAACATCATTTTTGAACCACTCTCAAGTCTAAAGATTATTACTTTATTAGTTTATTAGTATAGCGTATAGCTCTCGTTCAGTTCTACAATATGTTTCCCAAGGGGCGGTGGAACAGGGTGTGTGTATGTGTGTGTGTATGTGTGTGTATGTGTGTGTGTGTGGGAGGGGGGCTGTACCTCTTACAGCTGTGGAGGCCAAGGGGAGGGGGGCTATAGCTACTACTGAAGGTCCAGAAGGGCTGTCATAGCTTAATTTCCATGGGATGGTACATGAGGGAGCCTTACTACCCACTCTCCTCTGCAGTCTGCAACGCTACTATCCCAACATTACCATTATTTGAGATGACCGAATCTGCATGTTCGCCGTTCTGTTACGTTTTACATTATCTTTTGTTTATAAAGTTTGTATTGGCTTTTTATCACATATGCGTGACTGGACAGTTCAGTGTAGCACAGTGCAGTAAATTTGCTTGTTAAAGTTTAAAAATATGGCTGTATAACAACCTCGACATGTTTACATATTTAACCACGATATTTAACTAAAGCATGTGAGCTCACAAATCAATTAAATGGTCAAACAGACTTTTTTTTTTGGGGGGGGGGGTGGTGTTGGATCTCTCTAGGGGGTGCCACCCGGTATATATGCTCACCAAAACCTGCATTCAAGTTCAACCAAGCGAAGTGCGAAAAACATTTAATTGTTGTGCTATGTGTTCACACTGGGCAGGCTGAAAAGTAGCAAGCCAAAGGTCGCGGGTTCCCACCATGGTCAAGTTACTTTGTTGTTCCCCCGGTGTGGACACACGGCAAGAAAACTCACTTAATGGTCGGCTGCAATGTACTCGATCAATCGGGAAATATGGTAAGGTGAGCCAGATTTTAAGTCTTTTAAGATCACACGAGAATGAGCAGTCACGCGAACTTGGCTGGCTGCTCTTAATGCTTTCCGAAGCATTCAGTAAAATTCTATTTTGTAAATTTTCTAATTAATGAACTAAATAACTGCAATGACATAATATCTATATATCTAATAAACTTTAGAAGTAAGAAGCAACAATGTCATACAGTTGTTTGTGATGTTACTCTGAGTGTGTATCCACACCGGGCAAGCTTGAAAAATATGCCTGACCACGGTGGGAATCGAACCTACGACCTTTGGAATACTAGCCCAACTGAGGATAGGAAAGGTGTTTTGGGGCAACCTTGCCCGTGTTTCAACCTTTGAGTTCTATAAGGGCTTGGGTGTGGTCAGAACCTGGTACACAGTATTATAAAGAGAATGGACCTCCCAGCGCCGTTCAGAAAGCTTACATGTTTTATCCTTCCTTCTATATTCAAAGTTAGCAGGAAAACAGGGTTTTTGTAGAAAGGGGGGATTAATCCAGGGCTAGACTGGATGTCTCGTTCTGTCTAAACCGGCATAAGAAAGCTGTTTATAGTAAGTTGTTTCAATGTCTTATCGAATTATCCATGACAAAATTGTGATTTTCTCTACAAAGATCTGTTTAGAACTGATATACCCAGTCGATAAATAAAACCAGTTTGGTTTAGGTTTCCTAAGGAATGGCACTTATAATCTGCAGATTGCATGAGAGAAATATAACCAGTGGCGTTACGGAGGAAGAGGGGGCCGGGCACGTAGGCATATTTGGTGTGGGGACTGCACTGTTGACATTAGGGCCATTTATACGAGACAAAATAAGACGCGACTTACATAAGACGCGACTTAAATATAAAGTGGAGTTATCGCATAAATGGTTCTCTACGGCTTTATTCTTATTTACTTGCGATAGCCAGTAATGTTGTTTCGGTTGTTTTTGTTTTAATATGCAAGGCTAATAATTTTACGTTGTTTCAAGTTTCGGGCATGTGTAGTTAGGATTTTTGTCTAAAATATCTTAGTTAAGACGCGACTTAAATAAGAACAGCTAAAAGTCCTGTTCTTATGTAAGACGCGTCTTATCCAAGACGCGTCTTACATAAGAATTTTGCGCCTTTTATACGACAAACTCGCCGTCTTATTTAAGTCGCGTCTTATGTAAGTCGCGTCTTATTTTGTCTCGTATAAATGGCCCTATTGTTTGACTGAGATATTATATTTATATTGAATATTTATAGAATGTTCTGGAAAATTCCATGTCTATAACATTAATAACAGTCTCCAACCGACATGTAACAACTAGTAAGAATAACTTTTGTTTTGTTTGAGATGGAATAAAAAAAATCAGCTACCGTTGTCGCATTATTATTTAGCATTATTAATTTTGCATTTTTCCATTGATTCTTAACCTGCATTTTTTTACGTTTTGTAATTTTCTGGGTGATAAGCCATGGCTGATGTGAACCCATGGGCGTACCGGAAGGAAAAAATTAGGGGGGCGGAAAGAAATTTGCCCGACTTTTTTCGGATTGTGCCCAACCAGTGCCGAAAAATTTTTTTCCGGAACAAATTAATTTTGGCGACCCCCCCCCCACCACCACCACCACCCGTCGCCAAAAAAATTTCGGTCAGTGTACCATTTTAGGGGTCCAAAAATTTTTCGGACATACCAAAATTTTTCGGAACATCATACAAATTTTCCAGACATCACAAAATTGACCACAAAATTGACAGAATTTCCCACAAAATTGACAGAATTTGTCCCATTTATTTTTATGATAAGCCAATATTGCCCGACTGTGGAGCGAGTATTGCCCGACTAGCTTTGTTTGACCAACAAACTGGGGGGGGGGGCTGACGCCCCCCCCCCGCCCAGTACGCCCATGCTGTGAACCCCTAACTGCCGGGGCCCCTTAGTTTTTTAACTAACCTTACCCAATGAGCGTTATGCCACTGTATATAACTACCTGAAAAATATACAAGCAGGGCTTCGACGTTTCGAGCGAAGACCCTAACTTTCCGACGAAGGGACTCGTTTGAAGGTAGTTGTATGAAGGTAGTTGTATGTCTACCCTTTTGAAGGTAGTTGTATGTCTCATTTCACAGCTCCAGCAGAGGCCGCGGAAGCATTTCGAAAGTGGAGGGGCATTGACCGAAAGGGGCACTTTTGTATATGACCAAAATCAAACGATTTTATGACGTTCACGAGCCGAACGAAAATTTTTGAAAATATGGAGTCTCTCTAACGTCGGAAATGGCCTTTACAGAGTCTTTACTACTGCGCAAAGGGCATTTTCTTTCCAGAAAAAGAGGGCGTTTATTCAAGAAATACTTTTTTCGTTTTTTAAATGGGGCATTTTAGCCCAGAAAAAAGGGCACTTTTTTCACTTTTAAGAAAAGTGGGGGGGCATATGCCCCCATTGCCCCCCCGGTTCCGCGGCCCCTGAGCTCCAGTGACACTTAGGGACGGACCATTAGAAAAGTGATGGGGGGGGGGTTGGGAGTTGGGGAAACAGCAAAAATAAAAATCGACAGAAAAAAAAACAGAAAGAAAAAAAAATTCGTCCAGAGACTTTTCAATAGGGAAAATTATAAGTTGAAATAAAAAAATTCGAGCAAGGGATTATATTTTAAAAATTTATCGAGACATGCAAGCAAAAAATTTTGAAAAAATATTCGCACAAGTTGAAAAGTCCCCCCCCCCCATCACGTTTCTAATGGTCCGTCCCTTACAGACTTCTAGAATCTTAGAACTGACAGACCTGTATACGTATTTCGTCCTTAATTAATTAATAACACTTGACCAACTAATCGTTCGAACTTAGCTAACACAGCCATTCAGGATAGATAAAGTTAGTTCAGCACAGCCTTGTCCACAACGTGCTTAAAGCGTTGACATACACCTTTAACCTGTTTGAAAATAGTTGCTTTGACTTTGTGCAAAACAATACATTTAAAAAAATAATCGCTATTAAGAAAGATTCCGGGATACAAGTGAATCCATCTTTTTTATGTCACTATATATAATCGCCCAAAACAACAGCCCGCCAACAGGCCCAAAGTCGTGCATATCCTGTAGAAAAACTCAAAGTTTTAAGTGGGATTATCCTATTAAAACATACTCGTGAGATGAATGAGGTCCCAGCCAAAACACTCGTGTATAATTCTGGCATTTTCTATCTTTCTGCCATAGTTTGCTGACAGAGAACCGAGCGAAGAGATACTAAACTAAACATGAAACGTCTTAAAGATATTCTACTAGTTCTATTTCGGATAAAGATGGTAATTTTGTTCATTCAAGGGACGAAAGGCGGGGAATTGAGTAATGGTAAGTTACTATGTACGATGACGCAGATTATAATCACAATATGATAATCACGCATGATAAGTCACTCCTAATCTGCGTGTATTGTGTTAATGACGTATAGCAACGCTCTCTTGGTTCATAGTATGCTTGATTCAACATAGAAACGCCGTTATCCAACTGCGCAAAAAGTGCGGTTGTTCCAGATAAATGGTTATACTTTAATCCGCGCGTATTATGTTAATAGGGAACTTAAGATGTGCTTAATCTGTGCTTAAGACGTGCCAAGAAAAACAAACAGTTATCGTGTTTTACTTTTGGATTTGTTGCTATACACCGTACCACAGCCGTACATTAGCATCACCCTACTATTTATACATGAACATGCAGGGATTATTT